CCTCCTAGTTCTTTCCTCTATTTCCTTTTACTTTTCTCTTGTCCCACTATTGTGCTCAGCCTTCATTTGGGTTTCAGTAATTCCTCTTGGTTACATTACCCTTGATCATGCTCTACCAGCCCTCCTACACCCTCCTCACCATTGATTTTGGATCACTTGTTGTTGCCTTGTCCCTGGGTTTGTTAACACCACCTCCTTTCCCCCCACCTTTACCCTTTCCTGACACTAACCTCTGCTCCACTCTACTCCTCTTCAGGGCTTGATAATTCACTGCAAAGGCCACACAGAACTCAGGGACAATACGCACACCATGAGGGTTTGTTAGCGAAGTTAAGAAGTTACCCCAAGTCAGGATCATAAAATATTTAACAGTCTTTTGTTCCCAGCAGAGCCTCTCCTCAGGCAGCAGCCAATTCTCTCTCTGGTCCCCAGGCTGTCAGTCACATGGTTCCTTGGGCTGGGGTGCCTGCCCACTGCTCTACCTCAGTCTCATGGTCTCTGGTCTTGGTGCGATGGTTCCTTTGCTCTGGTACCCCTGATCGTGGCAAGGCATGGCCTCTGCTTGCGCAGGGAGGGATCTGAAACATGCTATGCTGGTAGCGGTCCTTCCTTGATGGGGATTTGTCCTGTCCTGGTTTGAGATGGCTCTCTCAGCCGCAGAGAAATGGAGAAATTGACCAACCCTCAGGTTAGTCTTCTATACCTTACCTATTTGCATGGGCTTACCCGATCATTTGGTAAGCATAATAGGCAAATCAACAGGAGAGCTATATTTAAGCAATTTCACGTCACCACAGGTGGCATGCAACTGAGTTACCACCTTAGGAGTCACTTCCTCACCACCCTGTGCAAGTCACCCATCTTTCACTGCCTTACACCCTCACTTGAATTACACCTTTTATCACATTGCTATTATGTGCCATAAACTCCGTTCCAACTCGCTGAGGCACCACGTAGACCAGGATAAACCCTGCCGAGACCTGCCCCGCCCTCACGATTGTGATGGCATTCATGGTGGCAATCACTGGGCCAACCCATCTTTTGCAGGGTTTTCCTCTTTTTCACTGAATCTCAAACATGATGTCCTTCTTCAGGTACGGGTATCTTCAATAGCGTTCCCAAAGCATATGGGGTACGGTCACGGTACTCTCACTTCTCATGAACATTCTGGCTGTACTTCCAAAACATGTTTGATCTTCTGGCTGTCCACAGTACTTTTAAAATTCCCTGCCGACACCGTATTTCAAACGCATCAGTCCTCTGTTGCTCCTCATTCATTTCACAAGCCATCTGAGGCAAATGAAAATACCACGGCTTTGTCCTCCAAGTGACATCTTCGTTCTTGAACCCTTTAAAGAGATCTTGTGCAGATGTGCCCAATGCAAAATGTCATTTGATATCTGACTGCTGCTTCCATGAGCGTTGACTGTGGAGTCAAGTAAAATGAAATCTTTGACAACTTCAGTCTTTTCCTAATTTATGTCTGCTTTCTATTGGTACCTGTGAGGATTTCTGCTTTCTTTACATTGAGTTATAATTTATACTGAAGGCTTCGTCTTTGATCTCTAGCAGCAAGTGCTTCAAGTTCTACTTTTGGAAGTAAGGCGGTGTCACCTGCATATCACAGGGTGCTCATGAGCCTTCCCCTAGATGCCAGCATAGAGAGTCATCCAGTACAGTAAAGACATCACCCCGACACCACATACTTTTCCCGATGATAAGTCACACACTGTATCCCTTATTCTGTTAGAATGACTAGCTCTTGGCCTAGGTTCAAGTTCCACATGCGTACAATTAAGTGTTCCGACTCTGAGCATATCCCACCTGAATATACAGGTGAATTCAAAATGAATATCTGATGCCTTGAACCCCAATGACTGAAGATCAAATGAACTGTGAGATGACATCAAGGACAGGTAAGTGGGGCAGGGTCAAGATGGCACCCAGAACTAGGCGTGTGCATACAGACCCCACCACGGCTCACCAAACCAGGAGGCGCAGTAACCACATGGAGGCTTGCATGAAAACACTGGGCTACGGGGCTGGCCCCCACCAGAGTTAATCTGATCCCCGCCCTAGAAGTGTGTGCCACAGAGAACAACTCTAAACCTTCAGGTGGAAGAAAGGAGCTGACTCACCACACCCACACGGAAGCAACCCAAGAATCAAAATCAGAAAGGGACAGTCGGGCTAGACTTCATATGGGCACACCAAGCCCAGAGGATGATGTCCCTCCTCGGAGCTGCTAAGGCACAGAGAGGGCAGTAGGACTCCCAACAGAGGACAATAATGGGGATACACAGTGGGGACATAATGTAGCCTGAATCCCCACAGCGGGACAAAACAAGTAGGGATCATAACAGATCAGCAATTGGAGCAAAGACTATCCACAAACCCCTGAAGAGCCCCCAAATAGACTTTGGGCTAGGAGGGGCAGCCGCCGGAACTCCCCCGGGACCAGGGGGAAGCGATTCATAAAGGTCAGCAGACAGACCTGGAACAATGTATGGGTTTGGGGATTATTTTTTCTCTTTTCTTTTTTCAACCTTTTATTTTCTTATTGTTTGGACTGGGACATTGCTGGTTTGTCTGCTTATATAACACAGACGTGTGAAACAAGCTCGGGGAGAAGGTCTTGGGGGGAGAAGGTGGGGGTGGGGGGAAGGGTGTGGTGAGCAAACAACGCCACAGACAGGGGAACAACCAGGGAATTAAAACCAACATCTAGGAGGTTGTAGAGATGCTGTGAGTATTAGAGCAACATCAATCTAGCTGAGAGGAAGTACTACGAGGTGGAAGAAGGGGGAATGTGATGGTAGGGCAGGAGGAGGCAAAAGGAAACAGAGCAAAGCTATAGATAGAGGTATTAACAAAGGTGTATACTTATGTAAATACATTAATCCATAAAAATAGAGGTATTAGTCTATGTATATGTAAGGATTGAGGATGCGGACAGGTCTTGGGCCTCAGCTCCTACCCTCCCTAAATACAAGAACACTTTGTTCTAACAAAATGGCATTCTGTGATGCTCACCCGCCAATCCCCCAACATGATCACTGAAGACAAAATGGGTGCATAAGCACATGTGGTGAAGACCGCGGATGGTGCCCAGCTATTGAAAGATATAGCATCTGGTGTCTTAAAAGGCTTGAAGTTAAACAAGCGGCCATACAACAGTAAAGCAACAAGCCCACATGGAAGAAGCACACCAGGTGGTGTGATCATGATGTTTCATTGGGACCGGGTAACAGGCATCAGAAGATTCATAACAAACAACGAACAAACAAACAAAATGTGATGGTGAAAATGAGAGGGGTCAAAGCCCATCTGCAGACAATGGAACATCCCCCCACAGGAAGGGCGCAGGGAAGGGATGAGTCAATCAGGGTGCAGTGGAGCCCTGATGGATCACACAATACACCTCTGGTTCCTTGCGGCTTCCTCACCTCCCACTATCATGACCCCAGTGCTGCTTCCCACTGTGGATGGGACCGGAGCATGCACATAAGTATAGGAACGAGATACAGCTCACAACACACGGAACCTAGCAACAGGAATAGAAATAGCGATACCAAAAGAATGAGGGGAAGGAGGGGGGGGGGAGGTGAGGAGAAAGGGGTTACCAATCGCAAGGAATGGCACATGACCTCACACCCTCCTCCAGGGGGAAGAACAACAGAAACCAGAGGGGAAGGGAGACAGCAGTAGGTGTGAGAAATGAAAATAATAACCATCTATAATCTTTCAAAGGGCCATGGAAGGGGCGGGGGAGAGGAGCTGGTCCCAAGGGCTCAATAGAAAGTAAATACCTAGAGAAGAACGATGGCAATATATGGACTAATGTGTCTGATACAATTGATGTATGGATTGTACAAGAGTTGTAAGAGCCCCCAATAAAATGATCTTTTAAAAAGAAGGGAAATATAGTGAAGAAACCTAAAGATTAAAGAGACAAGAAAGACAAAGCCAAAATGGATGTCAGAAGACTGTGAAATGTGTTCTTGAACAGAGAATAGCTAAAGCAAAAGGGAAAAATGATGAAGTAAAAAAGCTGAACAGAAGCGTTAAAAGGGCAGCTTGAGAAGACAAAGGATTACAAAGCAGTGTGTGAAGACCTGGCGTTAGAACTGAAGGGAATAGAGGGAAAAGGCCAAATTGCATTGAAGGCATTGGCAAAAAACAAGGCTCCAGGAATTAATGGAATACCAACGGACACATTTCAATGAATGGATGCAGTAGTGGAGGTGCTCACTTGTTTGTACCAACACATCTGGAAGACTAACAGGATGAGATCCATATTCTTGTCCATTCTAAAGAAAAGCGATACAACAGAAGGCCCTTGAAGGTCCTTGAACAATTATATCCTTAATCGATAACACACACAAGTGAAATTTTGATGAAGATCATTCAAAAACTGCTGTAGGAGTACATTGACAGGGAATTCAAGCTGGATTCAGAAAAGGATATAGAATTAGAGATGTACTCTGGTGTCAGAGCTTGCCTGAATGCAGAGAATATCAGAAATTTTTATCTTACAAGAGATAAAAGAGAGAGAATTGAACAGAGGAGGGATCTGACTACCACCAAAGAGAGATAGGAGCAGAGTGCATCTTTTGGACCCAGAGTCCCTGAAAGACCCTCCTGCAGCCAGGGGACATCAAGCTATCAACATCAGGGTCGATGAGAAGCAGTGGGCTAGGCACCTGGCTGGCGAGTGGGAGGCCTCCCGGTATGTGGTGGAGCTAGGATTGATGACCCATGAAATGAGAGAGCTGGTGGCGTGGGGCCTCTGGATGGAGGGCCTCTGGGCACTTATCAAGGTAGCTAAAGATCTTTGCCACACTTGCAGGGCAGATCCGAGGTAGTCAATGGGCCCGAGACGGGTGTTCCTGTTGGCATATGTGAGAAGAGGTTGTCCCCATCAAAGAGCTGTATTGTTTTTCCTGATCCTGAACTGTAACCTGCTACTCCCTAATACACCCAGCCACTGTTTGTTACCCTGAGTTGTGTGTGGCCATCGCAGCAAACCACCGAACCTAGCAGAGGAGAAGTGCCAAGGGTGGGGTGGGCTGCCGATAGTGATTTCTTTGGCCCCTTCTGAAGTTAGAGGTCAGCTAACCTGACTGCAACATTTTTATGAATGCCTTATAAAGGATTTGGTTCGCCAGAGTATTTGTGACACTGACTCATATCCTTTAGGTAGTTGTGAAAGGTTTCTCTTACTTTTCAAAAGAAGTCCTATATTGCATTTCATAATGAGAGGGAACATGTGAATGGCATTCGTTGCCGTTGAGGCAGTAAAAGAAAGAATTGGAAGGAAGAGAAGAAACCACCTGTTCAGGGGTCACAGGGATCCGCCTTGTGCCATTTGACATCTTTTTAGACCAGATGGCTTGATCCACCATTTTAAGGCCATTTTGTCTTTGTTCATTACTTTCAGGTTTCTAGGAAGAAAGAAAAAATAGATGAATGGCATGAAGGACTTAGTAAAAAGAAAAACATGGCAAACTACTAACTTAATCCATCAGCAGGAAATGCCCCCTCCTCAACTATTCCTTATTGTTTTGTCACATGTATTACTTTTTGTTATTGTTTATTTTTATTAGTAATTGGGAGTTAATACACGTATTACATCATTCACATGCATTATTCTTAAGAATGACGATTAACTGTGTCATTTGTAAGGAAGTAACAACCCATACAATAAACCAATAATAGTGATAATTTTTAACTTCGTCTTTAATTTTTAACTTCGTCTTTTAGTTTGTAAAAATCTCTAAAAACGAATTGAAGGATAGCTTTTTAGTTGCCGTCAAGTTGATTCTGACTATATTTATAAAATACTTCATACTATTTCATACATCTATTTCATTCCTATATTTATAATTTTCTAACAATGTCACTTTCATTTATTTTGTTATTTAATCAAAAAGTATTCCAGTTAATATAATTTTGTACACAACATATTCAGAAATGTCTTTGTAAAAATGTTAGTTTGAAATGAATTTTATCCTTGAGATTTATTCCCTAGAGTAGAACTATAAAATGTAAAAATATGAGCTTGAAAATCTTCTACATACACTCCTTATTGACACAGGTTCCAAAATCAGGTTGTTATGCAAAATCAGCAATATGCAAAAATGGAGGATTCCATGAGATCATATAACCACATCATTCCATAATTGCCAGATCACATCATTACATATCTGAGAGCCATAGGCCAGTCAAGTTGACAGAGAGCTTTCACCATAACAGCCAGTGTTACTCGGTTCTGTGCCTCAGTGTTTGTGATTGCCAATTGAGTTCCTCATTGCCAGACATACATCATTAATGCACAAAAGTCAGGGTTTTTTTTAATTATCCTTGGAAATGTGCAATATTAGATGGACAGTTGATACCTGATGAGTAGGTGTATTTTCAAATGATATTGAAGCTACTGGACTTGAATATATAAGGAGCCCTGGTGTCACAGTGGTGCATGCTCAGCTGTTAGCCTGCAGGTTGATGCCTGGAACGCACTAGCTGTGTAGGGGAACGAGGATGAGGCTGTCTCCTTCCATAACGAGTTACACCTTTGGAAGTTCTGTGAGGCCGTTCTAGTCTGTCCAATAGCTGTTGTGAATGGCTGTTGACTTCACAGCAATGGGATGGTTTGTTTGTGGCTTGGACTTACATGCAATCTGCTCGTTAGGCTAAAAAACATACAGAAACTGCAGGTTCCCTAAACTATCCTTGATTCAGAACTTGAAAATCACAAGTGGATGATGATTTAACACCTTTCAGGAAAAAATGTTCCTAATAATCAGCCATCTCCAATGAAATACCTGTTTTTGCCTTTCAATTTTGATTTGATAAGATTATAATGAGTTAGTTGTACAATTCAATCCGTGAATGGGTTCAAAGCGTGATCTCAAACTAAACTCTAAGTTCCATAAAAAGCAGTGATCCATTAACAAATAATCAAATGTGTCATTTTAAAGCAACTCGTACATTTCTGTACAAGGGGCCGTCAAAGAGCTTAGGGAAAAATGAAGATTATGGAATTTGTCCATGAACTTTTTGAAGCTCTCTTGTATTTTCCATTAGCAACCAGCATGACTGAGTCCATCCAATGGGTTTTAAACAATCCGATTTACTTCTGTTAGAGCGAATTGTTTACAAATACAATTGCTACCTCTGATGAAAAATGGTATTTTGTAACTCTGAACGAAGTTATGATTTTAAAACACATTAAAGCTCTGGAGATGTTTAGTCAAGATGACCAAGCATGATACAGCAACTTCTTACATTGAGCCCCTCTCTTAGTAGCCAGTTGTCTTTGTAGAGGGACTGCCCTTGCTGTTTGTGTCTTCGAGCGATGACGTGAGGGATGCTGGCAGGCAGTGTGTCGGTGGCTCGACCGAGCCTCAGAGTTGTTGACCCTGGGTGAATAACAACGATGAAGTTGCTCTGGATTTGCTACAAATAAAAAATTCAAGAGCATGACGTTAGTGAGTACCATAGTGTAACAACCTAAACGAAAAGAATTAATGTTTTATAATGACTACTGAACTCAAAAGCACCAAAATAAGTCAGTAGAGGGTGGTCTTTGAGAGGGATCCAAACAATGCTTGCTCTCAGCCTAAAATGCAAACTCATTCTGCATGTCCATGCCACCAGGATATGACTTTCAATAGAGTTCAAATACTTAAATCTAACACAAACACGGTTGTTTTAAAAAAATTTTTTTTAAATCATTTTATTGGAGGATCTTACAGCTCTTATAACAAACCACACAGCCATGTGTCACGTACATTTGTATATATATTGCCATCATTCTTTTCAAAACATTTTCTTTCTACTTAAGCCCTTGGCATCATCTTGTTTTTCCCCTCCCTCCCTCATGAACCCTTGATAATTTATAAATTATTATTTTCATATCTTACACTGACTCTGTCTCCCTTCACCCACATTCCTGTTGTTTGTCCCCCTTGGTGGGGGGGCAGTTATACATCTATCATTGATCGGTTCCCCTTCTCCCCCTACCTTCCCCCTACCCATATGGGTATACTCCCATTATTGTTCCTGAGGAGTTTATCTGTCCTGGATTCCCCATGTTGAGAGCTCTTATTTGTACAGTGTACATGCTCTGGTTTAGCTGGATTTGTAAGGTAGAACTGGGGTCATGATAGTGGGGGGGCAGGGGGGGAAGCAAACATTACTTCAACATATAATTATTGAGCTTTGATAGGATAGGAACTGTGGTTACAGTGGTTACATGACCAGAGCACATTAAGTCCCTTATCATTAGAGCAAGCACTTATTAAGGAAGACAACGTACACGTGACATGAGCCGGAAGAAGTCTGGTCTGTAACTGTGAAGACCTGGTTTCCAAGGGAGCACAAAATCTTTTCTAACTTATAAGAACTTTTATATTATAAGGGATCTTGGTGGCTGGTAATTAAGAGTTGGACTGCTAACTACAAGGTCAGCAGTTCTAACCCACCCAAACTCTTCCAAGAAGAAAGGTGATGCTGTCTGTTCCAGTAAAAGATTGACAGCCTTGGATAACCACAGGGGTGATTCCACTCTATCCTATAGGGTTACTATGGGTCCATTTGACTCAGTGATAGTGAATTTTGTTTCTATAATACAATCTATATATAGATATTATACATAACATATTGTACATTGGCAAGATACATGAAGCAGCTTCAAAAAGTTGAAAAGCTCCGTTTTCCACAAACTTGTTTAAATGCCCTCCTATATTCCATGTATCCTTTGCCTGCAGCGCCACAGCTAGTATCTTGTTGTTAGTGTGGCTTCCTCCGATCTTGTGTTTTGACACAAAGCTCTTAAATGTTCATTTCGACAAATGTCTGCCTTTTCCAGGTGGACATTGGGCCTCCTCATGCGCACTCCCCTAATACAAGAGCACCTTGCTCAGCTAAACGGTCATTTCATGATATCTACCTTCCCGACAAGATCGCTGAAGACAGATGTGTGCATAAGAAAATGTGGTGAAGAAAGCTGATGGTGCCCGGCTATCAAAAGATATAG